TTAACTTGTACCTTAAAGACATATATTAAAAAATCTCTATACTTAAATACGTAAGAGTAAAAAAAAAAATCTCAAAAATATTTTTTTTCCCAAGTCAGGCAGTTTTTTTTTTTAATCAATGCCATGTCATTGTCCAATCATCGTCTTTTGTTAACGGGCCACAAAAATGAAACGGAAAAATGATGTTTTCTAACGTCATCCTTAACAGAAGGGGTGATTTGCAGATTTCATGTAGTAGAAGGGCTGATTTGCCAGTGTTTCTTGTACAGGGGCTGAATTGCCACAACATTGCAGGTACAGGGGCTGAACTGCACCTTCTGCCTTTGTTGATTGATGCTAACTATTGTACAGCCCAGACGTCACGAAAGTTGCATCTCTTTTGACGCTAAAATTACTAGTTTGGTCCCTGAACTTTCAGATTTGTACCAAAAATGTCCTTGAACTTCGAAAGGTACTAAAATCATCTTTGAACTTAATTTTACGGTAAAAATTCTGTCAATTAAATGCTAGCATGGACAACTTTTCCATCAAATAATTCATCTTCTTTTAATGTTGATGGTTGACATGGGAATTCAAGAAGATGAGATGGCAATTTTTTAAATTAAAATATTTATATTTTAAATTATGTCGATGAGGCGGAAAATGAAATGGTCCATTTTAACCTTACATACATAAATTAGGACTCATCAACTAATTAATGCATTAAATTAAAAACAAAATTACAAAAATAATATTTACACAACATTTGAACAGTATTTTCTAGATCTCAACATTGTAGTAGAGACTAAAGATCGAGTCTCATCTAGGGTCTCAACATGTATAGGGTGAATGAAATAATGGCATTTGGAGAAAGCCTGCCATTGGAGATGCTCTAACAAATTGTTCATCTTTTCTCTGTACCACTACTTTTTCTTTTTTGCCAAACTTATTTGGAACCTTCTTGTCATTTAAATTACCACTTGATGCTTTACCACTTAATTTTTTATCGTGAATGTTAATATAGTTGTTGTTTTTTATCTTGATTTCTAAAGTAAGTATTATTATTATCTTGATTCTTAATAGAGGAAGTGGAATATCAAAATGTTTTGACATTAAAAATGTTAAGATGTCCAATTAAAACCACATGATAGATGAGATATAACATGGGTTCTACTTGAGTCTCATCTATCACGTGGTTGGAATTGGATGTCTTGGCATTCAAAATGCCAAGCTATCTTGATTTTCACTTTTCTATTCTTAATATAAGTATTATTTTTTTTATCTTGATTCCTAAGGTAGGGTTCCCCCCCTCTTTTTGTTACCTTGATTCCTAAGATTAATCTAAATATATATATATATAAGCAAGGGTCTTGCCCAATATGTCATATGCTTATATCCAAGTTACGACCATCAAATTGAATGCAATTTCACTCATGAAGTTGCTCATGCAAGTATGCTATGGAGGAATGGTGTAGCTATGGGCATGTTTGGTACAGTTGGTGGGAAGTCCTTTTGAACTCCAAAAGCTCCAGCTGCACCAAACATTATAATTTATGAAAAATGCTACAACTTCTCACAAGTTAATCTTTTGTCTATTTTATTGCAAATATGAGAAGCACCGAGTTGGTGCTTTTGCAGGGGTTTCTCATTTGGGTTTCAATGAAATTAACACATTATTTCTATTTTATCCTTATTTTTCTTTCTATTTACATAAATAGCACTTCTACAATAGTTTTTTTCCAACAGAACTTCGATTAAAAGCTCTAACCACACCAAACGGGCACTATATATGATTACGTGTACAGATGGTCTTGTACTAGTATGTTGTACGACTATATTCCTATATATATGCTTGAGTGAAATAACATTTTGTAGGGTTAGTAATTTTGTTTGTAAGGGTAGGACTAACCAAATTTGTTGTTTAAAATAAAAAGTCCATAAAAATGTGTAAAATTTTTGGGTTTGGTATAAGCAATAACTAAATATTTCATGAATAGTAATCAAGATATTCTAGAGAGTTAGAAACCTTGATTCGCCATGTTCTTTGTAGTATTGGTGGAATAAAAAATTATTTGGAAATAAAGATGTAGGTGAGGTACTTTTTTTTTAATTAATTCAGTCAAAAACTCATATTTCACTACAAGCAAAATGTCATTTACCAACGAAAGTCTATGCTGATGGATTGAAATCCATCTGTATACACGGGTCTATACCAACAGAAACCATAAGCAATCAATATACACCGATCTATACCAACGGAAAACATAAGCAATCAATATACACTGGTCTATGCCAACGAAAAAATATATCTGTTAGTATAGACTGGGTTTATACAAACGGTTTACTAATTATCCGTTTATATAGAGTGTATATATTCTAACGGTAATCATTATCTGTTTGTATAAATCTATGTATACAGACGGATTAACCTATTCTGTCTGTATAATTCACTGTTTCTTAAACACGATTTTTTCCTCTTTTATTTTAGCCATCTGTATATATTTTCCCTTCCCTCCGCATATCCCCAATTTTCCCTCCCCCTATAAGCCTAAGTATTTCCGTCCCCCTTCCAAATCTCCAAAATTTGGAATCGATTTTCCTAAAACTCAAAAACCCATTTGAACCTAACTGCAAAATTCAGAAGCTCGACTCTAATCCATCAATGACAGGAGGTCAATAGGTGAGTTTGTTGATTTCGAGTGATTTCTTCCTAATCCTCTGCATTTCTTCTATATTCATGGGTTGATTTCGTTCAAGAAACAAGTATTTGGGTTGATTTCATCTTCTTGCTGCCTTCTGATTTCCCCGAATTACACTCTGAACTGAGTTTCTTATCCACTTTTTTCCTATATCAAATTTGAGTACAACTTTAGGGTTTTTGAGATTTGTAAATGTATCTCTAATTTTATGCCAAGCTTTGGGTTCTCTTGTAATTTTGATTTGATTTGATGTGTAGGAGGTTTTCGGCGAAAAAGAGGCAGTGGTGTGCTGCTTGGCTAAGTTGAAAAAAAGGCTTCTATTAAGGATATAGTGGCAGAGAGACAGTGGCATTATTGAGAAAAGAAGAAGGTTAGTCAATACTCCTTTGATTCTTCTTTTTCTTTCTTTCTTTCCGATTATAGTTTGGGTTAGATTTGATTTTGTATCTGTAATATTTGTTACTACAATTCTGATTGCAATGGGTTTTAGATTTCATTTTTAATTGTGTTATCTATAAGTTTTTGTGTCTGATCTTTGATTATTGATTTGGTTGTTATTGTTTACCTTTGCTGTTTGTTGTTGGTGTTTTTCTGGTGTTTATATGGTTTGCTTACATTTCCTTGTTTCTTTGGGACTTTGCTTAAGCTAATGCATTGGGAAAATCATTTTGGCAAATTTGTTGACACTGCAAAGGTTTTTAGTTAACATCATTGGAAACCTTACCTTTACTTGATTTATCCTTAGCAAGCACGAATAAACCAAGACTGGCTCACCGATCTATAAGTATATGATCTTTAATGTTGCACCTTTTTTTAGTAGGACTACAACCTGTGACCCATCTCAATTTTCCGCCATATGCAGCTGGTTTCATTTCTAACTTGAGATGTTAGTGTAAATTAGAATTGATAGCATAAAGCTTTGTTGTTTAGATTAGGTCAAATGGAGTTTACTTTATGATTGTGCTGAGTCCTATGCTGTAATTCCTCTTTGGTTAAGCTTGGCTTTGACTTGCAATGTTTGTTAATTGTCATTTTAGGAGGTTCTGGTCATGATTGGGTGGTTAAGTAGTTGTTTATACATGGCAAGTCATCTTCTTGCTACTATAGGGCTATTTTTCTTGTAAATTGGTTATTGTTTGTGCTAACAAGGTCATTTTTCTTTTCTTGATTTTCATATTGGTATTATAGTATCATACAGCCTTGATGCTTATTGGGGGCTAAATAATTTAGATAGAATAAATGTAAATTTTGTATGGCCAACTAATAACTTACTTGGTAGCAACCAATTTTAAATTTGGGTTTTAGGGTCAAATTTAGTGGTTTAAACCTACGCAATGCCTAAGTACCTTAACTTTTGAAGGACCAAAAAATGTGTAATTTTTTTTATTTATACAAGTAATACACATGCATTTGTTTATGTTGTTTTAAAACAAGGTTCGTTCAATCTTATTCAAGTAATTTTTTATATTTCCTCTACTTTTACTGTTTTCCCTGATGTTGAGATGATGATTTTTTAGCGAGAAACTGAATCTCATGTCATTTTAAAACAAGGTTTGTTCTTAGGGAAGGTCCCAACTTCCAAAAAATCTGTCCCTTCCACCTTTACAAACAACAATGTTGAGCAAAGGTTGAGTGAGGTAGAGAATATGTTAAGTGGATTAATGTAGCTAATGAAGGCAAGATTTCTTGATGAGAATATCACGGATATTCTACAAGCTGCCAACCAATTAGTTGCTGCCAACCAATTAGTTGCTGCCAACAGATTGGATAGAGAGGTAAACTTTTTTGTTGAAGCATTTAATTTCTTTTGGATGTTATAATTATTTTAGTTTTCAATTTTCACTACTTCTTAAGGAGTTCTTTGTATTCTTACGTATATATGGTCTAGTAGATGACAAATAGATTTTTCATTGGGAGCTTTGCTGGGACAAATGTGGCCATTAGTAGAAAAAATCAATGGAAAAAAATTTTTGAGCTTATGTTTTGTCATGTTTTTTTTAACTCTTCAATCTTTTCTTAGTTTCTCATCTCTTCTACTTTTGTTTTTGATGAGCTTATGTTTTTGTTCTTTTCAATCTTCATGGAAATCTATACTCATTGAATTTTATTTTTCAATAGGCACATGCGGCCTGTCAAGAGGTATTTAATATTTATACCTCTTTGTTCGGGTTCAGTAGTTTCGAAGTTTATTCTCTCAAATCTTTATTTTTTTCATTTCTTTTCGTTGAATTTTTGAAATTTTAGTTATCCTTGAATTTCTTTCTACTGAATTGTAGGTTTCGGATGCTAATAGTGGGCAAGGTTTTTCTCCAAATAATCGTTCCTCTTCACATTCAAGCCATCACCTTTTCTCTTGCCAAAATGAAAGTAATGAAGAAAATGATAGGCAAAGGGATTGAAAGGCATGTTTGTATCTCTTCTTGGATCTGTAATTTCTGGCGATAAGCATTTAATTGAACTTCTTTAGATTCTACAATTTTTGTTTTTGCCTAGATCTATTGTTTTGAGATTGATTTATATCTATGGAATTGCTCTTTTATGATTGCTAATTTAGTGCATCAATTAACTGATTGTTTTTTAAAATTTTTATGGCCTTTTTTTATTGTGTTGAATGGTTTGATTTGCATAGACTAGCTTAGCTTGAGCGGTTGTGTGCTTTGGAGGGATTGGTTGTGTGCTTTTGGAGGGATTGATTAGTGCAAATGGTTAGGAATTCAAAGTTGTATTTTTTTTCTTTCCTGTTTGTGTGCAAATGCTTAGGGATTGATTTGTGAGGAAGAGAGGATTGACTCGCGCAAATGGTTGTGTGCTTTGGAGGGATTGATTTTGTAGCTTAGAAAAATGGTATTCATAATAAGTGCAAAAAAAAATTATAAAATAAAAGTGAATTATCAATTTTAAAAAAAAAAGATCTATACCAACGGAATTATCCATCTGTATAGGTCAGGATCTATACCCACGACAAAATCTTTTAAAATTTTCCAAGGTTTATACTAATGGAATTATCCAACTATAAAGGTCAAGGTCTATACCCGCAGCAAAATCTCTTAAAATTTCTCAAGGTTTATACCAACGAACAAGTTTTCCATTAGCATAGAATCCAAGGTCTATACATACGGATTTGTCCTTGATATAGATCCTATACTGACGAGATTTTTACCGACTGAAAGTTCTTCCGTCGAAATAGTCCCAGGGGATCTATATTGATGGAAAACGAGTGTATACAGACGAAAAACTTTCGTTACTATAGGTACATCTACTTGTAGTGTTTTATAACATTCTTTTTCACTAGATTATGATGATTATTATAATCAAAATTTTATTTAGTTATTTATTAGATTCAATTGTGGACTAATTGCGCCAAAAAATTCACTGATTTTCTTATGTGACAAATTGTGTATATTGTTACAAAATGTAATTGTTATGAATAATAAATTTTTTGACAAATAAATGTAGTGGTATCTATAACAAAAATTAATTATTTGTGACCAATATTTAACTAGTAACTAATAACTACATTATTGTAATAATTTTGAATGTCACAAATTTATGTGACTTATTGTGATGAATCTTTTGTAACTGAATGCAATTTTGTGTTGAAATTATATATTCTAATTTCAAATTTTGGAATCAGTGACCAATATCTTGAATTAATTACAAATGTAAAAGATATTAATAACAAATTGATAATCAATTACTATTTGTAGTCACAAAAAGCCTATTTTCTTGTAGTGGATGTTATAACAAATCATTTATCTTTTCTCTGTGATTCTGCTTTCCCTTTTTCTACATTTATTTGGAACTTTCTTTTTATTTTAATTAACACTTTGATTCTTTGCTCTTTTTCTTTTCTTAATATTTTATATTGATTCTTAATATAAATATTATTTTTTAGGACACTGATTGATGCACATCCGGATCCCCCCACTCGGGTGTGCACCCTCCACATAAAAAAAAAAAAGTTGGACCGAATGATGAGCATTTTTTTTTGTTTATATGGTGTGTGCACACCCGGGTGTGGGATCCGGATGTGCACACATCATTATCCTATTTTTTATCTTGATTCCTAATATAGGTTTTATTTTTTTTATTTTCTACGATAGCACTACTTTTCCTTTTTGTAAACTTATTTCGAACTTTCTCTTTATTTTAATTACCACTTTGATGCTTTACTTTTTTTTTCTTTGCTTAATTTTTCATCTTGATTCTTAATATAGGTATTACTTTTTATCTTGATTCCTAAGGTAGGCATTATTTTTTATCTTGATTCCTAATATAGGTATTATTTTTTCTCTTGATTCCTAAGGTAGGTATTATTTTTTATCTTGATTCCTAAGGTTGGCATTATTTGTTTTGTTGTCTTGATTCCTAAGATTAATGTAGATATATATAAGTAGAGGTCTTGCCCTTAGAACTACAAGGCAACTTACTAAAGAGGCATGGAGGCTAATCGGGTTCAACTGGTTCCATCTGTAAGTATGTTAGTTTTGTTTTTACATAATTCATGGACTTTAATTGATATATAATCTGTTTCAATATATTACATAGTACACTCAATAAAAAACTACAATAATTTGATATGAAATTAAAGATAAATAAATTTAAGATACAGTAATGCATATAAAATACTAAATTAGTTGTATTGATATTATATTTTAATAGTTGAATCAAGACAAATAAACGTATTAAACTAAATTTGTACTAATCATTTTCCATGTTTTTAAGTGCATAGACATTAATTCCCGGTTTAAATTAATATGTTTATTATCAAAAATGACATATGATCAGCCGCTCCTCCTATTAAATCTTTTGTTATTTTCTTTCTGTGGCAAAAGAAAAATGTTTTATTCATGGTTAAGCATTTTGTACAGAGTAACGCAGGAATAGTTGCATGCATGATTGTTCCTGAGGTTCTTAAAGAAGATAATTATGAAAGGTGGTGCATTTTCATGGAACACTATTTATTGGCTCAAGACCTTGGGGATGTAGTTCTATCAAGCGAGATGCCTCATGCTCATGGAGAAGACACAAGGGAGTGGATTAAAAAGAATGCTTTAGCTCTGCATGCAATTAAAATTTCATGTGAAGCAGAAAAGTTTGATCGGATTAAGAAGATGAATTCAGCCAAAGATGCGTGGAATGCATTGGCTGAATTGTGTAAACCGCCAAATGAAGACGGGAACAAAGATACAGGTTTATTTTCCATCTCTATATTTATATCTATCTAAAACACGGAGTACTCTTTCCTGTTTCTTAATTTTAATATTGCATCAGAAAATAATCTTACAATCCTTGGCAGGCTTCGAGATTCTTGAGAGGAAACAAGCCGTGACATTGCTCAAGGACATAGAAAAGGGGGATTCTGACGCTGTAAAGGAGAAACTCTTGGAAACACATCCTTCGTATTCTGCAAGAGCACTAGAAAACGGTTCCACTACTCTTCATCTTGCAATTACTGCTGGCAAGACAGAGTTGGCTAAGGAACTGATTTCGATGATGTCAACAGGAGAGTTGAAAACACCAAATAAGAGTGGTAAGACAGTTCTTCACTTGGCTGCTTGTAAGGGGAGTAGAGAGATTGTAGAATGTTTGGTTGCAAAGAACAAGAAATTGCTTGAAATCCCAGATTGTGAGAAGAAGATCCCACTTGTATTGGCATGTGCCACACACCATAAGTGTTTGACTCTTTATCTTTATTCGGTGACACCTATTGAAATTCTAGATCCAGTAAATGGGGACCATGGATTCTTCCTCCTCAGAGAGTGTTTAAGGAACCGTATGTTCGGTAAGAGCTGCATGTAAATTTTAATTATTATTTTTTTTTTCTATTTCTCTTTGCTCTGCTTTTATTTTACCTTAATTTAATTCTCAAACAAACTGTATTTGAGTCAGAGATTGGACTGGATCTACTGCGCAAATTTCCAGATTATTTGACATTTCACAAAAGCTCTTTGGAACCAACCCCTATCATTTCAGAGTTGGTCCAAATCCTATCATCATTGTTCACCGGAGTTTGGTACAAGCGTCTTCCAATCATTTCAGAGTTGGTCCAAATACTATCATCATTGTTCACCGGAGTTTGGTACAAGCGTCTTCCATTTCCGAAATGGTCACTTAGAGTATTTGGTAAGTACACCTCTGCTCTCTTTACAATTTTCAATTGAATTTCTCTGTGGATATATTTTAATTCTATTTTTATATTATATTTTAATTTTATTTATTTCTATAAAAATTTATGAAAATTTTTAATTTGTGCCTCAAAAGTATCATTAATATATACTTCTGATATTAATTGATATAAAAAATAACAAAAATCAACATTAATTTTATTACCAATACTACATATACTGTTTTAATTGGATGGTTGATTAAATAAATATAGTTTTATTTTTTCAATGATAATTAATGTTAAAATGATATTCTTAACCTATATCCTTAATATACATGTTTAAAAAGTCCAAAATTGATAAACACTTTCAAATCTCACAAAAACTAATTAAGGACCAATTTCTTTGTGGATAATATATATATACACACACACACAAGATACTTATTCTAATATGATCAATGATGCTTCCCTACAAAACTGTTTCGGACTGCTTTCATTTAGCTGTCAAATTTGTATGGAGATAATAATAGATATATCCTGCATAGTTACACACTCTGTTAGATATTAATAAAAACTATCAGTATGTAATAGAAATCGTAGGTTTTAATGCCATAAATAATGAAACTGTCAATTTTAATGGGGCAAATAATAGAAACTGTCAATATTAACGGTATAAGTAACGGAAACCATCAGTATGTAATGGAATATGTAACTTCGTAAGGTGTACAAAACATTTCTCATTTGTATAGAGTTCCCTATTTTTATATATTTGGAAAATGATTGAAATACATTCATTTGAACACATTTTTTAACATTTATCTCAGTTTAATTATTAAAATATAATATAAATAGTTAATTCAATCTATTCTTACATTCTATATACATAATTGTGTCTTTAAATTTATTTACTTTTAATTTTAGATTAAAAAATAATTAATAAATATATTTTATAATGTATTAAACTAGAGTGTATACTAATTATTATCTTTAATATATATATAGCTGCATCAAACTTGAATCTAACTGGATTCCCAAACCCAAGATTCATTGCAAGCATGTTTAGAACAAAGAGCAATGCTAGGGGCACTCGCCTCCTGCACTCTCCGGCCAACACTTTCTCTTTTATTGGACCACGTTATGTTGGTTGCGGACAGGTTGCACTGAAAGCTTTAAAGAAGCTTACGTGGCCCAATGAAAGGGGCAGTGTGGGCCGGAGAGTGCAAAAAGCGAGTGCCGCTAGCACTGCTTTTAGAACAAAACAACATGATTGTTATGCTCCCAAGAGAATCACCCAACAACTTAAACTCTAAATTAAAAATCTCAAGTTAAAACCTTAAATTTTATAAAGAGGAAGATGAGAAAAGAGTTATCCAGGCTTCTATAAATATAATTGTTATAATCTTGTTTCATATTAATTTTTTTCATACTTATTGGCTCCATACATCTAATTTATTGATTCTAATTGTAACCGAAGGTAAAGTACCTATCATTGACGATCTGCTGGTTGATGATAAATGGAAAACTCTCCCAGAAAAGCCAGGTATGTTATTCATGCTAAAAGTTAAGTGGTGGCTGTAGTGCTGTGAAATTAATTAACTCAATAGTTGAATAAAATTTGTCCTGTGGGTTCTCCTTCAGTCCATCGTGGATTGGTTTAATGCTTCTACACGGTTCCTAGGAATAACACTAACTTTTCCATTCAATGGAACAGATTTCTTAATCAGTTTGATTCTGTTATAAATTTCCTTGTACACGATTTTTGCTCTTAATTAACTAGGTTGGTCGCCAGTATATAATCTAAAGTATGACCGCGCCTATGCCCGTGAGATGGTACATGTGATATGTGAGCAACTGTCAACTTTAGAAAGAGACCAATTTATAAGAAGCGGAGCAGTGGAAGCTACCTTCAAGGCTATCAAGCTTGGCTACCTTGACTTTGTAAAACAAATTACAAAAGCTAATCCTGACATAGTTTGGAGCCTTGATCCCGAACACTCAAGAGACATGTTAATGTATGCTGTAGCACATCGACAAAAGGAAATTGCCAAGTTTCTTTATGGACTCAATACGTGGAGGAAAACGACGGAGTTTACCACAGATGATGACAAAAACAATATGTTACATCTGGCTGCAAAGTTAGATCCTAGCTGTCCCCATATTCATGATGCCCCTGATCCGGTTCTTCGAATGCAAAACGAAGCACTGTGGTATAAGGTAATCCTTGAAAAAACTTTTATTATATAAATATATTACTATTAATCTGTCAGATTTTTTAAAAATTAAAAAGAAAATCACTATAAAATTCTGATATTTGAATAAAATATTATAAAAAATCAAAATTAGTCTAATTTATACTTTAAAAATAAGTTATTTTAATGTTTTAAAATGAGAGGTTATTGAATTGACATAATTTTAGAATAATTTTTTTTATAATTTAATTTAATTTTTAGAACTAAGCTAATAAATATCTATCACTATATGATCAAGCATTTAAATATGGTTAGTCCTTTTCGATGATGGGTTTCTCACTTAACAAATTAATTATTTTAGGAGGTTGCACGCATTGCTCCAGAGTTTTATAAAGAAGAGAGAAATAAAGATGGTGAAACTCCTTTCGAAGTGTTTCGTAGGGAACATCAAAAGTTTCTTACAGAAGCTGAAACATGGGTGAAAGATACAGTAAATTTTGCCACAGTTATAAGCACTCTCATCATCGGCATTATGTTTGCAGCAACTATTACTTTCCCTGGTGGAAATAATGATCGGAATGGCTTCCCCGTCTTCTCTGAAAGATCATCTTTTCTACAATTCTTAGAATCCGATCTAGCTGCACTCCTTTTTGCATCTGCTTCAGTCTTGTTGTTTTTGGATATCCACAAATCGAATCTTAACGCGGAAGATTTCCTATCTGGACACTTGACTTTCAGGTTGGGCTTGGGCTTTTATTTACTCTTCTGGTCCATTGGAACCATGCTAATTTGCTCTTTTACTTCCGTTAAACTTGTGGATCCCAAAATAACTTCGGCCCTTCCTAGTTATGCGGTTTTCTGTGTCCTACCATTTGCCTACGTTTTTGTGAAACACCTTGTACCTCTCTTTAAGATTTCATTTTCCCGTATTTTTCCGTAAAGTTTGTCTAACTATTAATTATTATGTTAGTGGGGTCGAAACATTTTCACCTTGATGTGTGGAAAACATACATGATGTAAATGTAAATTTGTTTTTAATATACTTTTTAAGTGTATTTGATTTTTATGAATTATAAAATGATAATTTAAATGTATAATATTGGTATTTATTTGTCCAACCTTAAAATAATTAGGACAAAATATTCTAAAACTATTTTATTTTATTAAAATATTATGAGAAAATATTAAAACAAA